GAGAGAGAGAGAGAGAGAGAGAGAGAGAGAGAGAGAGAGAGAGAGAGAGAGAGAGAGTGCGCGTGTGTGTGCATGTGTGTGTGTGTGTGTGTGACGCGGAAGCACACTATACCGCAGCCTTAGGGCTGCGAACTCTCCCACACACCACACTCAACCCACTCACACACCCACTCACACACCCACTCACACCCGTGTTGGCTGAAGACCTTACTGATACCAACTGGGAGGATCCAGTTTGACTATCTCAGTTGGTTGGCACCAAGAGTGCTACAGGCGACCATGGGGATTGAACCCACGTCCTCCTGAATGCCACTTGCGTGCCTAACCAATTGAGCTAATTGGAGCAATACAGAGAAATTAGCATGAAAAATAAAAAATAAAACACAACTTTTAAATATTCAAACATCTTGCTTGATTTTGCTGCCCTGGGATGCTTGATTTTGCTGCCCTTGGATTTCGATGCACCAACGGCTGGAGGATGCCCCACAGGTGTCGCCGTGGGACACTTTACCTTATTCCTTAGGTAGTGGAACCGTGCCCCAGGGTGTACAAACTGAACTAGGCTCATGGTGTTTTTTCCTTTCAGAAAAGGCCGTCGTGGGACGGCGAAGGCGGGTCATATGCGATCCCTGGGGGAAGGTCAAGGTGGGTCAAGCAGGGTCAGGGCGGGTCTGGGACGGGTCTGCTCGCGCTTCCCAAGGCGGGTCAAGCCGGGTCAGGGTGGTTTAGGGCGGGTCTGGGCGTCCACGCAGGCAAGGTCAGTGTGCCACGCGGTGCTAAGGCTGCGGATTTGCCGAAGAATCTTCCACGTATAAGCTGCGCGAAATTTTCGACTCACTGACTGAATCTGGATGCCATTCCGTCAAGAAACATTCAGCAAAGCTCTCAGTGTGTCCTTGGCTGGAAAACTTGTCCGGACTGACTGCTGGATGCCATTCCTGCACGAAAAACATTCAGCAAAGCCCTCACGTGAGTGGGTCCTTTGGTGAGGCTTGGCGGAACGGAACTGGCGCCTTGGTGGAATATTTCAGCAGATACATACACATGAGCTTAGTGGAACTTGGCGCCTTGGTGGAACTTGGCGCCTTGGTAGCAAAGCTTGGTTCCAGAGGAGGGACAAGGGTATGTGCCATTGCCATTCTGCCCCCGTGACACGGGTTGGAGTCGGTGTGGGGAACCTTGGCTCCAAACCTGTTCCGTTCCGTACCTGGGCGGCAAACTTGTTTCTAACCTTAGTAGGAGGCTTGTAAGCCTGTGTCGAAACTGAGCGCCAAGCCTGTTTCAACCTGTTTCGAACCGTAGTAAGGGGCTCGGACTACCGGCCTCTCCCTACGGTAGTGAGTAACAGGCTGGGATTACGATGCTCTCTAGTTCCTTAGCAAAAGGTCCTGAACTGACGCGATTTCAGTCCAGCTCGGTTGTAATTATTAATTCTAATGCACCTGGAAGTCATGAGGCCCAGGTCCATCAAGTCCAGTTCCCATGCGAGTATGCCCTGAGGTAAGGCCGTACCCTTTGTGGATGCACTTGGCCCTCTCGCGACGTCGGGTCTGGACGCTCTGTACACGTTGAGCGCCTCCTCACTAGGAAGGTGAGAAGCCACTCTGGTTTTCAACCTTTCAATTTCAATTACCCGCCTTTTCTGCTCCTCGGCGCCACGTGTCATAGCACCGGTCAGGATTGGTCCGATCTAATCGACTTTTATAACACCTACTTCCCGCCCTTTCTGAGTGAACATGACGGTAACAATGGTTAGATACATTCCTGATAGATTCTGTGTGCATGTCCTAAATGGAGAAGTCCTGTGATGAGCTTGCCGCGCGAAGGGTAACGCATGAACTGCCCCGTGATCTTCCTTTCTTTGTCCGTTGCGTCTCACTCTCTCTCTCTCTCTCACACACACACACACACACACACACACCCACACACACACACACCCACACACAACACACACATACACACATACACATACACATGCACACATTATCGCGGTGTCTGTGGCTGTTGTCCTGATCACGACTATGGACATCGACATTGCGTGCCGATTGTCTTGTGGCAGGCGGGCCCCTTCATTACTGCCGTAGTATGAGGAAGCCCACTGTCGAGGCGTTGGCATCATCTCCCACCCCTTCCTCAGATATCCACGCCATTCGTCCGCTTTCATCTGACTTTCTCTCTCCTTATGCCCCTCTTCTTCGTTCACCTTTCTTCCTTCTCTCACCTGTCTTCTCTCCTTGATTGGTTGGCGGTCTCCTTCTCATCATCATCAAGTCTTTCGCGTACGCGCGTGCGCGCGCGCGAGAGAGAAAGAGTTGCGCACATTGGTTAATCTAATTGCGTTTTGAATGCTATCGGTTGATTTATTTGTCTGACGGTTCGACTGATTGAACCCGTCTTTGTGAGGTGAGTTGTGGTGGGTGTTGTGATCTGGAGGACAGCAGCTCAGGAGAAGGAAGGTAGAAAAGGGTGGGTAGGGGGGCAGGTTGTGAGATCGAGTGCACGGGGAGAGCCAAGAGGGGGGATGTCGTGGTTTTTGCGCGCGTTGCGCGATGATGACAGTGCAGCGGAAGCGGCGTCGGAGGGATCGCCGCGGTCTCGAAGCGGAGGAGCGCAAGGCGCGCCCGCCAAACGAGGGGGCGAGAGGCGGGGCATGCGCGACGACATCACGGAGCTCAAGGATACTTTTACTAAGCATGTGTTCTCCTTCTCTTCTCTTCTCGGGGAACTGGGCGGATTCGAAGCCAACCAGCGCATTGGGGAGGGCGGAGGAGGGGGAAGAGGAGGAGAGAGGGGAGAGAGGGATGACACGTGGACCGGCGAATTGAGAGGGAGCAAGGAATCATCGTCATTTGCGAGAAGCGCACGTGATGGAGGCGTCGAGGAACAGGAGACGAACGACGGCGCTGAGTACACTACCACTCTAGTAGAGAGACACCCATCACAGCGGGAGCGGCAGGGCCTCCTGTCTCCTTCGATGACCAAGGAGGAGGAAGGGGAGGAGGAGGAGAAGGAGGAGCTGTCTTTCAAGGGGGATTGGGGCTGGGGTGCAGCCGACACGGGGGAGAATAGGGACTTCGAACGTGCGACCACGACGGCGAAGGAGGAGGACGAGAATGAGGGCGAGAGGGAGAGATGGAGGGACGGAGAGGGAGGAGGTAGATCCCGCGAGAGTGGCGTGGTGCATTCCCCCTCCGCCTCGTCATCGCCCGCGACGACCTTGAGGTCGCTGTCTGCTTCCATGTCAAGTGGAGGAGGGGGGGAGAGAGAGACACGTGGCGGGTTATCGCACTCCTTGTCTTCGTCGCCGTCGTTTCCTCCCCGTTCGTCCTCTATGGCCGCCGCTTATTCGGGCAAATTTAGTGGGTTCCGAAGCGATTTGGCGGAACTGAAGGGGACAGTATCGAGCGGAATTTCGAAAATTTCGCAGATCTCGAAAATTTCGAAGATGTCTTCTGTGTCATCCGTGCTCAGAGTAGTGACGGGTGAGGATCTAGTCAAGAAGCCGTACGTGGCCGGCGCCACAGGAGGGAGAAGAGGAGAAGAGGTGGAAGGTGATGGGAGAGGAGGAGGAGAGAGGCGAGGGGCTGAGGTGGCCATGGCTGCCCCTGTTGATGATGATTCCCTTGCTGATCGATTTGATGGCATCTCGAAGAAAGACAAAGACGGTGCGTCGTCGTCTCACCGGATGAAATCATCAGGAAAGGTGGTTGATGATGACGTAGCGGCTGCCCCGTCTTCCACGTCAGCAGTCGTGTCCGCCGCCGGCGGCGGTTCGCTTCGGCTGGCCCATGACGATGGGGAGCCCGGCCGCAGTAATAAACGCGCAGTTACAGATCTTCGATCTGGCGGCGAGGAAGCGGCGGCAGCGTCGACGTCTGTCCTCGAGGTTGGCGCTGGACGCCCCGGGGGGGGGGGAACCGTCGACACGTGGGACCTGCGCAAGGACGCTGGTCCTCTGTTGGATGGCGCGAAGAGAGATATCCATGCGTTCACTGACACGCTGACATCGGGATTGACGAAATTTTTGTCGTCTTCTATGCTTCATTTCGGGACAGATCAAGATGAAGGAGGCCGTGAGAGGGCAACAGGAAGAAGGCATGCAGATGACGATGAGGACGAAGACGACGACGATGAGGACGAAGAAGAGGAGGAAGAGGAGGTGATTGGCGTGACGGACGAAGTTGTGACCTTTGCAAATAACATCGGCATGCATCCAGAGACGTGGTTGGATTTCCCGTTGGAGGAAGATCCCGACTCGAGCAGTACGTGTCAATCTGTGTGTGCTCCCCCCAACTCGTTCGCGTGCTTGTGTTACTTTCGGCCACTCTCTCCCTCTCTCCCTCTCTCCCTCTCTCCCTCTCTCCCTCTCTCCCTCTCCCTCTCTCCCTCCTTTCCTCCCTTTCTCCCTTCCTCCCTTCCTCCCATCTCTACTCCCTCTGTTACTCCCTCTCTCTTACTGCCTCTTACTTCCTTTCTCTCTTCCTTTCTCTCTCTTACTTCCTTTCTCTCTGACTCCCTCCCTCCCTCCCTCCCTCACTCACTCCCTCTCTATCTGCCCTGAGTTGCCCAGCACAAGTGGTGACTTTTGTCTTTCATGTCGATGCGTCTGTTTGTCAGTCTAGAGCTCGACGATTATTATCTTTTTTTTTTTTTTTAATTTAAATTTGGACCATTTTCCTGATGTCTCATGGTGGTTCCGCCTTCCCCATGATGAATCCGCGTAAATTACGATAATTGTTTTTCGACGGATTTTGACGAAATTGGTTCGATGAAAGTTCCACGAAAGCGTGACGAAGTCTGTCGTACAATCTTGCGGAGTTGGATTTGATGGAATGCCTTGTGGCGTTGCAGCTGTATATATGTATTATGAGCATAGAAAAAGTTGGGGGAGAAAAAAAAAACAGCGAATAAGAAAAAGGTGAAGGGAAAAAGAAAAAAGAGGAACAAAGAAATTGTTGCGTCTTTTTGGTGTAGCTTCTTTTTCCTCCTTTTCCTTCTCATCTCTCACACATGCTCTCTTCGTCGGCAGGTGTGTCACAGCGAGTATTCCTGTGTGACAAGGTATGCGCTCTTAGTCAGCAGGTGTGCGACAAAAACCTATGCTGCTATGATTGACTTTTTCAACGAGTCTTAATCAAGAAGCTTTTTTTTTTTTTTTCGTCTGAATACATGATTTATTGGCTGTGGAGCGATGCGCTCTTTAAGTAGTTAACAGGTGTGTGATAGCGTATATAGCTGTCTGACAATGTGTGATCCTGTGATTGTCTGGAGAGCGATATGTGATGGGTGCTGTTTGGTATATGGGGCATTCTGCGTCAGGTTCGTTGCTACTGCCCGATTAGGTGAATGCGTTCGTGCACGTTTTTGGCACATTACACTTGGTGATAAAATCGTATATTCACACAAGGGCTGTCTTGACTGAATCTGGTCGATGCAAGCTGATACATTCAGGAAACTGGAAGTGTTTCTATGCCCTAAGCGTCCTTCATGTACAGTAATGCTCTTTCAGCCCCCCTATGCTCCATTCTTTGACCCCCCTACACACCCACACACAATAATGCTCCCTTCTTTGATCCAATCCTAGTGTAATCCTACCTTTTTGAACCCCGTACACACCCGCGAGCACCTGATGGCTGCGGATGAACGTGGCTCTTTGATCGTATCGGCTTCCGTTTTCCCTCGAGGATAACGGAACGGAACGGAACGGAACGGATGAACGTAACAAAGAAGAGATTTAACAGAAGGTATGCTGATGATGGATGTGGTGTGTTATCATCAAGTTCTTGGGTAAACAAAATACTTATTACTAAGAAAAAAGGAGCCATCGGTCCCACTGCCGGCAAACACCCACACAGAAAGCGGGATCGTCTGACCATTAATCAATCATTCACGAGTCTAACCGGGGTGGTTGTCTGGCCGCCGAGTAATCATTGTATGAGCATATGCAAGAGGCATTAGACCTCGCGGCACTACTTCACCATGCCAGACGGGGTGAGCATCTCGACGTCAATATTGCTTCCTCTCGTCAAACCTGTTGTCGGTTCACCAATCGAGTGGTGACAAGCGGATTCGATCGGCTGACGGCCCCCACGGGGTAAGCAATGTGATCTCAATGCTTCCTCTCTTCGATTCGTTTCCTCCTATCGCGGTACCGAAGTGCTCTGGAAGTGTCTTAATCTGGATGTGAGTGTGCCAGATCGGTCCCAAACCTTGTTGACAACTTTTTCCAAATGCGGTATACACACGCTGGTCCAGAATATTAGTACTGCGCACATGAAGCTGTCGCAGACCATCAAATCTCTCTCTCTCTCTCTCTCTCTCTCTCTCTCTCTCTCTCTCTCTCCCGCTAGCTCAGTGACAGTGTTCCAGACGCAATATGCACGCTGGCCTCGACCGTTAATACTGCGCACATGAAGCGGTCCAACTCTCTCTCTCTCTCTCTCATTCACTCACTCTCCGCTAGCCTATTCCAGATCGGCCCCAAACCTTGTCCACAATTTTCCAGATGCGAGATGCACGTTGGCCTCTACTGTCAATGCGCACATGAAGCTGTTCCAGACCATTGACTCTATCTCGCTCTCTCACTCACTACTCACTCTCCACTACTCTGGTTCCGAAGCCTCCCCAAACCTTGCTGGCAATGTTCCAGGTGCTGTATGCACTCTGGCCCCGAGTGTTAACGCTGTGCGGATGAAGCTGTCCCATATCACTGAATCTCTCTCTCTCTCTCTCTCTCTCTCTCTCTCTCTCTCTCTCTC